AAGGAGGAATTTAATGCTCCTCAGCATCAGGGTCTCTGTGTACCAAAACCACTCTTGGGTTAGCCTTACCTATTTGTTCTCTCCCCCCCCCCATTGTGTGAGAGGTTCCACGAGGGGTCTTGTACCTGTCTGTTGTTATTTCCCTTGATTAATATGGGCGAAACCATTGCCATGCACTTCTATTTATCTAACTTTCACAATTTGAGAGATCGGTCGCACTTGGGTCTGAGAAGTACCGAAAAAAGCGGCTATTTGACCCATATGAGTAGCCAACAATTGGTATTTTTGGTTAGTGTTTTATATCAAAAGATTGAACACCATACCAATTTGTCAGGTAAGCATATTAACCATCTCGTGGTTACTATCATCCATTTGTTTCCTTATGGAAATCATGGAATCTGTGGTTAAAGCAGGCGTATTTAGAGGGGCAAAGCTAGTCCCTCCTGGTTGTGGAATTCAACGTAGGTTGTTGATAGCAGACCTTGAGGCCACATATGAATTCAAAGGAAATGGTATCATTTTATTATTGTATGCATATGTAGATGCATGACTCTATAATATTGCCACCATCGATGTTGGCATCCCATATGAGATACCTAAAACATTATGGTAACGTTACACTAGGCATCCATGGGGACCTAAGGTCTCCTATAACCTCCTGAGTAGGCCTGGGAGTGGTCGGGATGCTTGTTTCCATAATCAATGAAGTAACCACTCCTTGAAACATAGTCGAATTCAACACTAGGGTAAGGATAGGTTCATTGTTCCAGGGGGATTTGAGTTCATGTCATCACGACGATGGTCTTGACAGACTGTTTAGTGTTTGGAATGTCATTTTGGAGATGTAGAGTGAAATTCTGATACTTGCAATACCGATGTCAAGACTAATGTCCTAACACATACACAATGTCAAAACATATATTATGACATCCTCTGCTGACAGAAAATACTTGCTAAATTTGGAGATTGTGTGGAAAATAAATTGCAGAAAATTAAATAACACAATCAATTGTTAACCCAGTTCGGTGCAACGTCACCTACTCTGAGGGTTATAAAGTCATGAATAGTATTAGTTTAAAGTCTAAACAAATCTAGTTTACAACTTCTCGCCTAACCACTACCTTGTGCAACTTCTACCTAGACACCTCTAGATATGAGATCGCCCTCTCACTTCCAATCACCTCAGTGATACCTAAAGTCACAAACCTTGTGACTAGACCAAAAGAACCAAATAGAATATTACACTTCAAATAAAAAATACTTAATTTTACTTAAAAGCTTCAACCAATAACAATACTCAACTATTTTCTTAACAACTCATGAGTGACAATAATTAGTCTACCTCAAAGTATCAGAAGATACATGAGTGACATACAAAGAACAAAAACACAAAGAACTTAAAAGACTGCCAAAATCTAAAACCCTTATGCACCCACGCTTTTTCAATGTTGAATGCTTTCTATTTTAGGTTTAGTAAGTTCTTATTTATAGACTCTTGCATAATGAGCTTGGACTCTTCAAATCAAATCAAATCTTCTATTTTAAATCAGCTATAAGATCTCCACACAAAAATAGGAACAAATCTTCAAAGTTTCCTAAAAAGTCTCAAAGATCCTTTTTATGAAATGAAATTAAATATGCATTTATTTCTAAAATATTCTTGATTAGTTGAGCCTATATGAGTACTGGAATCTTCCAGAACAACAGCACCTGATGTATAATAGATCAAGATGTCAAGACATATGGCTCAACATGTGTCTGAAACACATGAAAGCAGAACCTGTCATGACAGATGAACAAGATGTTGTGTCATCTTGCATAACATCATATAAGAACCATGTCTTAGCAAAATTGCCGTCAATCCTAAAACTATAGATCTAACATGGAGTATTCTTAGGGAGAACCATTTCGTCTAAAGTTTTACAACTCCTCAAACACATAAAAATCCAGACACCAAAAACATTTTTTCAACACAAAAACGAATTGACAGCAAAGAAAAAGTACAAACACTTTCCTAAAATGAATCATAGAATAACACAAGGGTCCCAGTGGGCGTGCCTATTTTTTTACCGTTATTTTTGGCAAACAATCGCTTAGTTTTAAATTTATTACTTGAAGGACCAAACTAGTAAATCATTGGCATATTGTGTAATTTTCTCTTGGAAAAGTGTGCATTAAAGTTGTCAAGAATTTAATGAACATTTGGATATTTACTTAAATAAAAATAAAGGTAATACTCCAAAAAACAACAATTATACTGGGTCGAATTGATAACTTAAACTATAAAGAAATAAATTAACTTAAGAAGAATGAAAAACAAACTTTATTTGCATAAGTAAAAGATGGTAGGCAATATCATTTGTTTCTTTCTCTCGTATGCTTGGGTACTTTGAGTGTATGTGAAGTTACAATTATTTTTCCACCCCGTTTATAATGTATGAAACTGCTATTTATACTAGTCTAAAATAACCGCCGACGATGGTTCTTCGTCAGATGCTTCAACAAGTATCATCTGATTTCAAACTTCAGCCATTGGTGTCTTCCATTCTCTTAATGCTGACAATTCATATCATCTATCAATAACTTCCTTGAACACAATGACTCTTTGTCAACATTTGATTCCTCATTCCTATCGACGTCTTTTTTGACATATGTCCCAAACTCAAGGAAAATACCAAGTCTTTTATATTTACAACTAACTCCTGGAGATATAACCGCTTAGTCGGGGTGTCTTCCCGTCAAAGGTCCTATCCGAGATTCTAGACTTGTTTCAACATGATCTTGATCTTGTGGATCTGATCTTGAGGTGTCTTCAAACCATATTTTCCATGTCGATCGAATCTTTCAACGTAGTCTATTTTCTTGTTGACGCTCAATAAATGGATGTTAATACTTAGTTTTTCCCAATGCATCAAACTTCACCATTTTCCTTTACCTGGTAATTCCAGGCTAACAATATGTCACTATGATTTTCTCTTAAATTATGTTTATTATGATTTATGACCAAACTCTATGCATGTATAACTGTTTCATGATGAAAACGTGTGTTATATGTGTGTTGAGAATATGAGTTGTGATGACTCCATGTGCATTAAGAATATGTGTTTTGCTAAATTATTGTCAATTCAATTGTTATAGTGTATGCCTATCAAATTGTACTGGTTGTGGCTAGTTTGAATGCAGGTACGCAAAGAAATCAACCTTGAAACGCAAAATCATGTTTTGATGATGCTGAGACTAACACAGTCGTGTCTTTTGACACGGGGCTGGCCGTGTTCTTTCCAGAATTTGGAAAAGGGGGGCGCTGGCTGACACTGGCTGGTTGTGTTCCGCCACTGCCCCGACACGCCAAAGTGCCCCTTACTAACCTCTGTTTTTCTCTATTCTGAATTATCTTGATTCAGATAAGCGTATGGATTGTATCCATATTCTTATCATTGAAAACCGTGAGTTTGGAAATTTACTGACTTTTCCCGATTCAAACAAAAACTCAATTAATTAGACTTAGGATGGTTGAATTAAACTTCTACTTGTGGTGGATAAATAAATTAATCATAATAGTGATTGGAGAGAAACCTGAAACATGTGTGTGTTCCTGCGAAATGACGCACCTTTGTCATTTGGTAAGACAAACATGATTCCAATACTTGATGTGTAGAAAGAATTACCCATGGTCAGGCCATATCATTATCACATATTGTTCCGTATAGAACATGCATTGAACCAAGTATACGTACTACTTCGTCGATACCATAGTTCTATATAGCATGATAGTGAGAAATTGTCTTAAAGGGATGAGGGATCTTCTTGGTTAATCTCCGTGGTGTTTATACTTTAAAGTAAGTCCAATAGAGAATAATGGAGACTTGTATGTGGGAAGCATCTCCGAGCTCCTTAAGGACAACAAATATGAGATATCGTTATCGATACAATACAGTGGTACCATATGTAGTCTCTTGATACCAGACAATAAAAAATCCAATCCTACATGACAGAAGAAAACATATTAAGACTAGATTTTATTTCTCGAAGGAGCAAGTGAATCAAATAAAGCTTAAAGTGACACATTGCCAAATAAATCTCAAATAATTGATATTTTAACCAAAAAATTGAAAATGGATAGATTTTTATCCTTTAGAAAAAATTGGAAATCATACAGTTTAATTGAATGAGTGTAGCTTGGTGTTTCCTAAGTTGAATTATAGAGAACATGTTGTGATATAATCTAACTTAGCATAAGATATATTATGATTAGTTAGTTAATTGTTACTAATTAGTTACTTCATACACAAGTAATTTACTTGTTGTATGTATATGTTAGTTTGTTGGTAGTTTGTAATAACTCTCTCTTCCTCAATTAAGTATCAACTATAACTCTTTATTATCCCCTCCTCTCAATTTAAGTTTAGATGTGCTTGAACTAACACATTCTTCGCTTTTCTAAAGAACAACTTATTAGTTTTGTATTGACAATGATGTTAGAATTTCTAACAATTTATTTCTGTATTAGATCAAAATAAACCGGTTAAGTTGTTATTAACATTTTTTCTAGCATTTTTTGAATACTTTATTGATAATAAAAAATTGCCTTGACAATTATATCAATGTTGATTTAAAAATGGACGAATATGTTGATTATCTATTAGTTATTAAAAGTAGACATTAATCTGTTTTATAAATTTTGTAAAAATTAAAAACCAAAATGGAATAGTTGTTTTCTTTTTCCTTTACCAAAAAAGTAGTCGGTGTAACTCAATAATCAACATGATGCTAATGTTATTCTGCTGAATCTTGCTTACACGTGCCAGCCCTTAAGTGACTCACGTGGCAGATAGTTCTAGCAAATTCGATAATTCTCATTTCTCAACCTTTATTCTAGCACATTCTAGTTTTCCAAACATTGAAACTCCTATAAAAACCACCTCACACATAATAATCTACATTGCATATATAATCATAAATCACAAATTCATAGTTCAAATAAATAACCAAACGCAACAATGAAGCCAATCGACGAGAAACAAGAGAAAGTAACTATAAGAGCCGTAAGCCACGACGAAGAAGGAAAAAAGAGAGTAGAAAAAACCGAGCTCAACACACACAACATTGACACAATCAAATACGTCGAGAAAAAACTCATCAATAATGGTGTCCAGCGTCTCGACCGCCACCCCGTGGACGGCATCGGAATCGGTCGTCCGCCACCAAAGTCCGGTCACGGCGGTAAGTACACTTGGGAAGGCCCCGCTGATATCATCGATAACGAGCTTGATGCAGCACCAGCCGCTATAGATAATAAGGATCCTAATTACGTAGACGACGAAGACATTGATGTTGATCCTCGTTTAGTAGTTAATTAACTGAATCTGAAATGTCATTATGCATTTAGTTTGTTTATTCTGTTTCTATGTGCGCGCGTGTGTTGAGTAATAATTGTAATAGCAATCAATCAAATGGTAAATTTGCTATAGCATGAAACTTTATGCACTTCAAAGAAACCATGAACTGAAAAATATACTGCCAAATCTAACTGTAACAATACACAGTGCTTGCAAAATAGTAACACAAAATCATGTATGAATTAATGAAATCCATTCCCATGATAAGCGAGGCGAAATGCTGCGTAATACTCCCACTCAGGATGAGTTGGTGTAATTCCAGGTAAACCAAAAGGATGTTGTTGAACATACTCTCCAGCATCTTCAGCTTCAGCAACTCCATTCAAGTACCTACACAGTTCACCTTCTGGATCAAGCAAATTGTCCTCCTCATCATCTATATCATATGGCTGAGTAAAAATTGTTGTATGCATAGGATTACGAACAGCCCTATATGGTTTGTCATCAATCACCAAAGTGTTAGCACAAGAATAGCGTCGCCCATTATCTATTGATCCCCACACTCTATGTATTTCTTTGATATATAGATGCTTCCCTAAGCTCTCCAATGCTCTAAAGCCAGTATCCCAACATGAATTTTGATCCTACAAATTCAACAACCAACATTACATTACTACAAATTTCCAAAAACAAAACACACAACTTATAAGAAAACATACCCAAACAAAAAGTAGCTTATTTGTTAATCCTCCTATACAACAGGTTAAAGCACCATCCAGATTATGCCTGTATTAAGGGTAATAAATAACAGTTAATATAACACAAAATAACAATCAAATTCAAATACAGAAAAAACTCAACAAGATTGTTATACAATTTACAATTTATACTCACCCTCTAGCAGAAGTCCAAACCCCAACTTCAAATCTTTCTAAACAGAATCTCATAAACTCTTTGCTATATGGCCTCTTAAAAACTATATCAAAATAGATAATCATCTTAATAAAAACAACAAAAAAATGCATTTTGATAAACAAATGAAGATGAAATACAGTTGAGTATATAGTAACTTACGAAGAAAGTTACGATATAGGTAATCCGGGACTCGAGTCGAAGGATGACTTTCCCATTCAGCAAGATTAATTCTGCGCATAAGAAAGCCATTAAGATTCATAATAAGCAACTTCTTCTCCTTAGGTTCAACTTCAGCATTGATGTTGTTCTCAACAGGAAGATTCAATTCTAGTTCATCTTCTGAGCCTTCATCATTAACATTTTCCTCTTCTCGCATATCCTTGACTTTGACGAGAGTTCCAAAAGTACTGTAACTAATCAGCATGAATAAATCCCAATCACGATGTTCGGGCGTAATTGGTGGTAAACCAAAACGATAATGTTCAACATATTCCTGAACATTCTCAGCTTCAGCAACTCCATTCAAGTACTCGCATAGTGCACCATTTGGATCGAGGAAATTGTCCATTTCATTCTCTAAATCATACGATTCGATAAAAATCGCTGTGTTTACCTGAAATTTGATATTACAAAAACCGTTGCGATTTGAATACTAAACATAAACATACATTATATACAAAATTTGAAAATTAACATTGAATTAATACCGGATTATGGATGGTTCTATAGGGTTTATCATCAATCAACAAAGTATTAGAAGCAGAATATGATGGATATTGATTCCACACATGTTCTAATACTTTCAGAAAAAGAGGCTTTTGAGCATTCTCCATAGATTTATACCCAGTGTTGTTACAGTGGGATTGATCCTACAAAAAATCATCAAACACTAAATAAACTAACAAAATCGATTAATTAATAATCTGCAAAAAAAAAAATTTTAAAAATTACCCAAACAAATAGCAGCTTATCTACTAAATCTCCTCCTATAGCACATGTTAAAGCACCACGCACATTCTTCCTGAAAGTGTAATAACAATAACAATGAATCAAAAACGAAATAATCAAAAACAAGAACAAGAACTGATTATGCTTACTCTACTGCAGAAGACCAGATTGCAACTTCGAATCTTTGTAAGCAGAATCTCATGAACTCTTGGCTAAACGGCCTCTTAAAAACTGCATTATCACGTTAATCAATCAAGAACGCGCATTGTTAAAAAAAAGAAATCCACGAAAGATGAGTTCGAGTAACGAATATATTACGTATAGTATCTAAGAATCGGTAATCAGCTACACGATTCGGGAGGAAAACGCATCTGAAGTAATCAAGAATATGAATTTTGCGGATGAGAAAGCCATTGAGATTCAGAATAAGCAGCTTCTTCTTCTTCGAATCGATTTGAGGAGGAAGACTCGATTCCGGTACTTCTTCTTCTTCTTTCTTCGAGTCTTGTTGATCATCGAGGTTAACATGATCGGGTTCTTTGGAATTATTGATTCTGATGAGTTCGCCGTACTTCCAACCTATCGAAATCTTTCTAGACATTTTTGATGGATACAGTTTGATTGAATTTGATTATGAAAAATGATTACTACTTCAGTTGCTTTATATATACAACTGGAAGATAGAGGAAGTTGGAGAAGAGAAGCGGTTAAGTTTGTTATGGTTTGTTAGAAGTTTGTTACAGTTTTTTCTGTTTATTCACTTGTCAATTTTTATTTTTTATTTTTTTTATTCAGTTATGAATTTATGAGACCGTTACGGCATTTGGTTTTTCGCTTGGTGTGATAAAATAAAAGAGAGAAAAATTGATGGAGTGTAAAATGAAATATTTAAAATCGTGTTAGGGAACATGAATCTTTTTTTTTCTCTGGAGAATTAATTATTTAAATTTCTTATTTTTAATGATTATAAAAATATATATTATTTTAACGAAATAAAACTATCATGTTTTATTTATTGTTTAAATATTAAAAAATAAAAATAAGTATTAATTTATATATATTTTTTAAAAGTATTTTACAATGTCAATTAGTTATAATCTTTTAATTTTTAAAACTATTTCATATTTATTTTAACCATTTTAAAATAATATTTATAAGGGATTTTTTAAAGTTATTAAGTGGAAAATAGCAAATTAGAAAGACTAGCAGTTAAGTTTGTTATGGTTTGTTATAAGTTTGTTAGTGTTTTCAGTTTATTCGGTTAAGAATTTATTTAACGGTTACGGTATTTAGCCTAGTTCGTTTCCAATGTGTTGGTGTTATTTTACTTATGGAAATTTTGTCCGGAGCATTAATTATTTAAATATATTAATTTTTATTTTAATCACTTTTAAATTGATACTTATAAAAGAGTTTAATAGAATAAAATTATATAGCGGAAAAAACAAAACTAAATATAATCATAAAAAATTGTATTTGGTATTTTAAAATTGATGTACTTCTGAGTTAGATTGTCTTATTGGATTTTCGTTCTAAGTTAAAACTTTTATATTTTATTTTATGATAAGTTGTTTATCACATCTTTAATATTTTTCTTAAATATTATGAATTTCAGAAATTTTCTCTCTCACAGTCCAAATTACATAATTCGAACGCACCACAAATTCATAAACACTCGCATGTTTATTTGAGAGAGAAACATTTTGTTTGAAAAACACTTTTCGAACACATCATTTAAATAAAGTTATTCAAAGACATCCTTAATATAATATAAAACCTGTGTTTCTTTCTCTCCATATTAAAAATTTTGAATTTTTTTTTTATCAAACATCTGAAATACTTCTTGTTGGCCGTAGATAAGATAAACCAAAGGAGGACAAGGCAGTCAATTTGGGATGAGTACATGGCTAGTATTTCTCATCGTCCAGAGTTATGATGGCTTTGGATAAAATCATTTGTTGCCCATTCACTGTTGGCTGAGAATGTAGATACAATAAGGTCTAGAAGGGGTGATTGAATAGACTGTTCCCCTTGAATACAATCGAAAACAAAAATGATTTCCTCTTACAAACGCAAAGTTAAGACGCAGAAGCAAAAGATGATGAGCGAGAGAAAACCTGGTAAATGAATTCAATATCATATTTTTCCTCATTATCATAAAGACAAGAGATCGAACAAAGTCATTAACTCAAGTACACTTGAAGTTGCTTAAATAAGCAATTTAAATCCATAAACTTAGAGTCAATACGATCTTGATTTAAAAGACAAATATTCATCAAATTAGATGCATCATACACCTACACTTATATGATAAAACACTATAAAAAAGATTTAATTTTAGATATCATTTTAACGATGAGTTATGATTAAATATATGATATAATGAGGAAAATTAAAGATATGAGGATAGAAGAATGTACACAAGATATATATGTAAGAACAAGATTTGGTTATGCATCTGACCTTTATTTTTAATGATAACAATACATTATTTGTTAGAGAATAATTTTGTATTCTAATGGTTTTGTCTAGTGTGTAGCTTTTGCTAAAAGGTTCTGACTCTGATAGAATAGCGTGTGATGTCATCATTTTCTGGAATCAACACAATATGACTCTTGAGAGATACAAAGTATGCATTACTAAGAAATTGTCAACTTCCATAATACTTCTAAACAACAGTTCTGAAGAATATTAGTCTAAAACATCTGATTGTGACTCTGATGAAAGAGCTTTTGAAGACTTCTCAAGCTCTGGAGATACTGCACTTTCTAAGTTCTGAGGTTCTTAAGACCAAGTTCTGAAGACTCTGAAGACAAGGTTCTGGAGAACAAGTTTTAAAGACTCTGAAGACAAGGTTCTGAAGACTCTCATTTTGGTTTTGATCCTTCTAAGCAATGCTTAATCAACACACATTCTGAAATCTCTGAATATTAGAAGATAAGATCAAAAAGGTTTTACGTAAGTGAATAGTATATGGTATAAGAACAAATATTCCACTCACTACTCTGATTTAGTGGTGCAAGGACAATACTATGGTACAATGTTGTCTACCACTCTCATTGACTGTTATAAAGAATACAGCTGGAATTTGAAATTCCCATTCTACCATCCAACGAATCTTTTTTTGGGTATATAAAGAAGACCTGGAAGAATGAAAACAACTTTTGCTCAAGAACATTTTCCCTAAAAACTTTTCACGTGAACTCTCAAACGAAAATATTTCATCTTTGTGTAAAGAGTTGTGAAGTAAGGAACTTTTATTCATATACTTGCTAGAAACACTTTTGTGTTTATCTTTGTATTTCAACTTGTGTAATATTCTTTCTTAGAAGAATTTTTGTAAACACACCTTTTGTATATCAACTTTTGAGTTGATTATTCCTTAAGATACTAGGATATAGTCAGAATTTCTCAAAAAGACATTAACATGTAGTTTTTGTGGTTTTAATCAATTTGGTTATAGTGGATTAAGTCGTTGTGGAGAAGGAGAAATCACCTTGGTGGGTGGGATGAATTAACTTCGTTAATAGTGAATCAAGATAAAAATAATTATATTCATTTATTTTTGTTTTTGTTACATCTTCAATTGTATTGGGTAGAAAAAGTTTCAAATCTAGAAACCCAATTCAAACCCCCATTTATTGTGTTTCGTATACCTTCAATTGGCATCAGAGTTTTGGTTCTAGTATTGATTGTTTATCAAACATGTAACTGTGTCAGGTAAAGATCCATATTTTTTTGTTGAAATATAATGGCGAGAATCCCTCTACCATCAGCACCCGTTGTGAATGAAATAGATAACTATAATATCAAACCTCCAGTCTTTGATGGAAAAAGGTTTTACTACTGGAAAGACAGAATATAAAGTTTATTTCTTGGTCACAATGTAGATCTATGGGATATGGTAGTTGATGGCTACGAACATCATGTTGATAACAAGATAGAAAGAAGAGTAATGATTGAGCAATAGAAAAAAGACTACAAGAATCATCACATAGCAAGAACCATTATGTTGAATGCTATTTCTTACACTGAGTATTAAAAGATCATAAATAGAGATGCAACTAAGTCAATATTTGATTCTTTAAAAATGAAATGCTCAAGTGAAAGAGACCAAGGCGCTTTCCTTGATCTAGAAGTATGAATCTTTCAAGATGGAAGATTATGAAACTGTCGAAAACATGTTCTCAAGGTTTCAGACTCTTATTGTAGGACTAAAGGTTCTGAACAAAGGTCATTCTACTGCAGATCACGTTAAGAAAATTATCAAAAAATTTCCCAAGAAATGGAGGCCTATGGTAATCGCACTAAAACTGTCTAAGAATCTGAATAACACTTCTCTTGAGGAACTAGTAAGTTCTTTGAGAAGTCACGAGATAGATCTTGAAGAAGATGAGCCTCATAGAAAAGGAAAATCAATGACTCTGAAATCTATGGGAAGGTCGGAAGACACTAGAGCCCTTAAAGTTGAAGAAGATGAATAATTTGAAGAAGATTCTAAGGAAGATGATGAGCTGTCTCTTTTCTCTAGAAGAGTAAATCAACTTTGGAAGAAAATACAAGGCAAAGGCAGAGGATTCAGAAGGATAGATGGTCGCTTCAAATCAACTTATTTTATAAACTCTCTTGTTTTGAATTAGAATTTTGTTTATGTGAGATTCTGGAAATGCATCAAGAGCTTCATAACAAATAAAAGGATCGGAAATAAGTCCATGTATCTGAATTTTAAGCATACAACAAGCTTAAGAAAGAATTCTCCATTTTAAACGAAGAATTTTTTTCTCTTAATAATAACAACTATTCCCTTAAAAGCAAGAGTTTTAAACTTGAGGGAGAAATTATTTTAGGAGCTTCTGTAAGTTCTGATGATGTCATAAATAAGTATGACAAATCTTTCCATAAATTCCTTTCTAGAAGTCTCGATAGAAGCATAATGGCTTCAATGATATATAGTGTTAGCATAAACAGAACAAGCGAAATTAATTATGATTCTAATGAAGAATCAACTTTTGAAAAAGTTGATAAACCAAATACTCTTAAGTCCCATTTTGTAGCTCTTGGTTCTATGCCTAAAGAAAAACTTATTTCAAAACCTAAAGAAAACCTAAAAGCTACACCTCGTCATTTTAAATATTCACACACACACACACACACACACACACACACACACACACACACACACACACACACACACACACACACACACACACACACACACACACACACACAGATATATATATATATATATATATATATATATATATATATATATATATATATATATATATATATATATATATATATATAGCCTACTCAAAAACCCAAGTTTGTTAAGAGCTCTAGGAGCAATAACAAGAAAGGACCAAAAGAATGTGGGTACCTAAGTGTAACACGGTGGGAGAACTGACTTGGGTATTTTGCGTTTGATCGCAATTGTTGCAAATAGAAAGAGTCGCCACCGAATTTTCTTTTATCCAAAAGGAAAGGTTGAAAAGAATAAGAAAGACCTTTCGAGATTATTTCTTGAGTCCGGGGGGGGCAGGTTATGAAAAGGAAAGGTATTAACACCCTTTCTATCTGTAGTTATCTACGTGCTCTTAG